AGCCCAGAACTCTGAGATATCCTGGCACTCTCCCATAAAAAATAAAGACATCCCAATTCTGCTTAGTTTTTTCAGATCAGCCAAGGTAGCTATGGTGATAGCTGTCTAGTTGGGAAACAATTCTGGCATAGCTCTTAGTTCTTAGTCCAGGCAGAGGACTGTGCTTTTAAATCCCAATTAACTGTGAATCATACTAGGGAGCCTTGGCTGAACAATACTAGGTATATCTACCCCGAGCATTGGTGGAGATTCTGTCCCAGTCTAAAGGCACATTATGTCAGTGAAAATCTGGCCATGCTTTTCTGTGTTTCTGCCATGAGGCAAAGTGGAGCAGTTGCCTAGGGTAGCCAACGATGGGAGATGGCAACAAGATAGGTAGGAGAGAATGGTTTGCTACATGGCTTCTATATCTCTGTAAGTTGTCCTGATGCTTTCAGATACAATGCAGGTTATTCCCTTGTTAGTGTTAAGTATCCAACCACCGATCCAATACATGCCTTTCATGTATCACGTAGAGGGAGCACAATCTTGTTCCTTAGGCAGTAAAATATTGTGGGCCAGCCCTGATGGGCATGGCCAGACCAATACGGGCAGAGCTGTAGATGTGACTTTTATTTTGTCTGTCTTGGGTGGAAAAACATCTGTGCTACAACATCACTTCCTTCCCTGCCAAGGTTCTCCCCTGCAGCTTTGTAACTGGGAATTAGAAATCAATAAATATTAATAAATGGAGCGTGATCAACAAGGGGGTGTGGTCCAGAAGGAATCTGGAGCTCCAGACCAAGGCTTGGAGAGTCACAGCTGACCCATTGAATATTCCTGTGTGCAGTAATAGGGAATCTAGGTCCCATGCTCCTTTCTGGAAGGTGTCTTCTGTAATGCAGATATGGGGAACTGGGACCCCTCTGACTTAAACTGAGCTGTGACTCTCCGTGCATTCACTACTGGGGATACGAGTATCGCAGTGGGCATATGAAAGGCCTCAACCATGGTGTAAAGCTTCACTTTTTCGCCTTCATGAAAACCCAAGGCCTATATCACAAATCACCTTTCTAGAATGTCCCAGAATTGCAATGTGGGAACAGCAAAATAAAACAAAAGGTTAGCTTTCCTCCTCTTTGCCAAGCAAGCAACTTACTGGATTATTTGGCTTCCTTACTTGTTAATGACGAAATCAGAACGTTGGCTAGAAAACTCCAATTTGCCTTCATTTAAGGCATCTTGCCTTTAATAGTTCACTTAGAAGCATGTGATGGAAAACCAGAGTTTCATTGACTGATCAATCCAATATTAGAGCTTCCCCCCCCCCCCCAAAGAACAGAGCAGGAGAGATTGGACTGGATTGGATCCATAATTGGATACCCAGTTTGCAAAACTTAGGGTAGGAGAAAGGGGTGGGGGGAAAGTTTGAATGGAAGAATTTCTTGGGGAAGAAACTATGCTTAGCCATCCTGAAGACTTTATACCCAAAAAAGTACATTATCATCCAAGACAGTTAAGGGGAAGCATTACTGTACTGTAGTAAGGTTGAAGGTCACCCTAAGGAAGAATTCTGTGCAGTTACCTCCCATCCTATTTAGCTGCAAGATAGGTTTCTATGCTGTTAGCCTCATCTCTGTGTGCAGGACAGTTTTGTGTCTGTCTCACTGGCTGAATTTCCTCCCCCTCTCCATACCACTGTGGTTCTCAATAGACCTCTGAATGGGATTTGCCTCCTATGAAAGTTTGGAGATTCATTCCCCAGCCCTTGCTGGAATAATTTCAAGCTGCCGGAGATACTTTTCCCTTGCCACGCTTCTGAGAGCGTCCCTAAGGAATGCTAGAAAAAGCACATTGTGGCATTTTACCCAAATGAGATTTTAAACTTCCCTTGTGGGACAGACTTATTTGTTTCTTTATCCAAAGGGGACCTTCTAGTTTAACCTTTACTGCATAAAGTGTGAAATCTGTTCTCTGTGCACGTTTATTTGTTCTATTTATTTATTTTAATGTCTATAGCCACTCGTCTCAACCAAGTGAAGTAATCCAGCAACACCTGTATGGCCATAAGTCTCCGCTTGCTGCTGAATCATGCATCTGCTGGGGCTGGAACAATCTTCTGCAAAGATTAGAACTGGCAGGTTCAAGCAGAATCAATACTAAGTTGTTAGTCTTCCAAGAAATGCTTTGCTCATTTAGGTAGAATATCTTCCTTCTTTGGTTCCATTACAGATGGAAAAGTGTCACCTTCTCAAAACCTCGATGGGGCGTCTTATTTCTAAACGCGCTCTCTCACACACACACCAAGCTATAAGACACCAAATTATCTCCCCTGGTGGGACATCAGTGGACAAGCCACCAACAGACTATAGATGGCGCTATGGAGTGTGAATGTCCTGTGTTTGATTCCATCATCCTTAAGTGATCTGCAGCCTCCTATGGCTTCTCGTTTCTATTCAGTCCCAAGTAGCTTTTTCGTATGAGAACGTGTGATCCACCAGGGAGGCTTCAGAGTAGTGGGAAAAGGTGTAAAAAAAACCCAACCAGCCAACAAAACAATCTCAAAAGAGAAAGCCAGTTCCAAAACACCCTTAAGAATGAAATTGGAAAGAAATTCTCAAGCATACTGAGAACAAGATAGAACCACAGAAATCTCTTTCTCAGGAGAAGGAAGCTTTGGAGAAATTCCATGGCAGATTTATCTATGCTTTTATTTTCCTCTATCAAGGTAAAATGGGCAAGGAAAGGAACAAAAGAAGGTTATTGTTGCAAGGGCTTTCTCATTGTTAGGCTCAAACCTTTGAGAAATATCCACTTTTTTGCAATGTGGGGGCCAGGGCAGGAAAGGAGGCGTCCTTTATTTCTGCTTAATAGATCTCTCCCTATGTACATTATGCTCTGATTAAGAAGACCAACATGGTTGCAGGCCCTAAACCAACAAATGTATGGAACCAAAGAATCTGTTAAAAAGCAGGAGAAAGCCCATTATTAAATCGGTAATTAAACATCCCTCTTTAAAATAAAATAAAATCCTCTGCAGATTACCGACTCAGCCGCTGATAAAAACACTCAGCAAACCAATTAAGGAAACCCAACACATCCTGTAAAGCATTTTTTTTTTAAATAAAGACTCATAGCGATCCATCCCCCCCTTCAAACGTATAAGAAACAGGAGCTCTTTTAAATGAAAACGTTTAATCACTACAAGCAAAATTAAGAAGACGTGTTTGTTGCTCTAGAAGTCTGTAAACAAAGAACAGCATTCTTCCAAAATTGTGGGGGGAGATTAATCTGTTCAGCATTGACCCTCCTCATTTCTGTAAGTCAGGCTATTTGTTTGGGGGGGGGGTCTTTATTTTTGCTTTCTATGGTGAAACAACTGGATGGCCACCTGGCTGTTACCGACAATGCCTTGGAATAGTATTGTTCGGCAGTGGTGAAGTCTGATTTATGCGAGGTTTATTTTAAGTTGCTCTTTTGAAACCAAATTTATTTTTAACTTAGTTTAATTGACTGAGCTGAATTTAGATTAAGTTGCTCCTTGATGATTTTTTTCTCCCCATCTTTCCTCCAGAAACACAAGGCAGTATTCAAAGCAATGTCTCCCGTCCTAGGGTCTTGCAGATAATACCTCTGTGAGTAGGCTGAGCGGAGAGAATGCCACTGGCCTCTCTTCCCAAAAGTGGGGTGTCCTGATACGCATCGTGCAGGGTCAGAAAACCTGCCCTGCTGGAGATTATTAGAGATTGTAAACCCCACCTCTCATCAGGCCCAGCAGAATTGATTTGACTGCTTGGTTAGTGCCTGGATAGACTCTTTACATTCCTTGCAACTGATTTCATCCTATAGTGCTTTGCTCAACCAGCACAGCGTGTTTCGGGGCTGTAGAAGTTGTATTCTTGGACTTCTGGAGCATACCATGTTACTTTCCATAGAACAGAGGTTAGATTGTCAGAGATAATCCAGAGAAATTAAGAATTGCTTAGTTTCAGTGTTTATCAGCTGGCTTAGGCCACTCTCTGTATTATGACGTGCTAGAACAGAGTGGCACAGCCAGAACCACCCAGGTGGTTTGCAGTTCTCAAAAGTCCAGGGTGCAGCCTCGAAAGGCAGGCAATAAATTGCAGCCTTGAACCTGGTGGATGGGGAAAATTATTCGTCGCATGGGAACAGTCCTAGAAACTCTGTTTAATTAATTAAATGTAATTTTAGATGATGTGTTAATGACTCAGAAACTGGTTTTTGCCCTGGCCACACCACCTTCTTGGGGCACACGCAGAAGCTGAATGCGAGCTGGCTATCCTTTCCTGAAGCTTTTGAAGTAATGTAATTTGGGCATGAGAGAAGAGGGGGGTGGACTGAATGGACGTCTCTGCAAGGTACCTAAAGCCTATGTGCCAACTAGTGTACATTTTATCACCTTCAGCTGGAACAGGTAGAGAAACTAATATTTTCTGAATCTGTGAATTTGGGAACTTTCTGTGTGTCTTCACCCTAGTGGGAAGTTCTCTGGGCTGAGGAATAATGTCATTATTCTTTTTAGATTTATTTTTTCCCTGTCAACTAAACCCATTGGCTTCTCAGGTGTAACTTCCCCCAAAGGATGCATCAGTTGTGAACTGCTGACCTGCACAATTTCACAGCTAAGGGGCATTACTTTCACTGGGGCAAGAGCATAGAATAAGAATGGAGCTCTCCTTCCTTCCTTCCTTCCTTCCTTCCTTCCTTCCTTCCTTCCTTCCTTCCTTCGTTGCACTACAAAAAAATCCCAGTTGAAACAGTGGCAGATGAAGCTACAAGAAACAACTGATTGTGGGTCAGTTTGCACACAAGTTTCAGGCTGCCTTCCAGATAAAATCTTTTGAGTTGAACTCAATCCATGGTGACCACATGGATGCAACCATGCCGTTTTTCTTAGCAACAATTTGACATTGCCTTTTTCCATGATTCTTTTTTCACTACAAGCCCAGAATTTTCTGGTAGTCTCCCATCTAAACACTAACCAGATCCAACCCTACTTAGCTTCTCAAGTTCAGCAAGGTTGGTTAAGTGCTGCCATGTGCTAAGGCTAGAGCTCTCTAAGAAACAATATCGTGGCAGCAGCTCTGAATTGGCGAAGAGAGAGAGAAAGACTAGGATGGAAGCAAAAATGTTATTAAGAGGACAGTTGTCTCGACCAGAACAGAACTGGCCGTTTTGTGGTAGCCCCGAACTTCTATTTTATAATTAATATTTCAAGCTTCTGAGAGTGACGGGATTGTTCCATCTGGTAAAGGCAGTAAATGTAGAGTCAAAAGTCCTCTCGAGAGACAACCCATGTGCTATTAAATCTGTTGAAAGGGAGGCACTTAGTTCAACAAATTAATTGTTTTGAGAATCTCTGGGAGGAAAGACCTTTTAAAAGAGCTGTTCTCCTGGTCTCTCCAGCAGCATCTAACAAGAGCTTACAAGTACCCAGGTGGAGTGTGTAGCAGGAAAGCCAGGTTACTCTAGGGTAGCTGAAAATTAGGAGTTTGACAGCACCTTCTCTGACTACCTTATTAAAAGGCAGAAGCTTTGGTGATGCGTCTGATGAAGCGAGCTGCAGTTCAGAAAGCTGATGCCTTCTAGTAAAATTGGCTAGTTGGAAAAGGGGCTACCAGACACCTTCTGATTTCAGGCAGAATAATGTAGAACACAAAGGGGTTGGTTGATGGGGGTGCTAAAAAGTCATCAGCTCCCGTTCTGTGTATAGACTTTCAGGGCATTCCTGCCTCCCTTTACTTGAAGGTAAGTCAGCGCAGCCTACATCCATGTTAATTGGGTGTAAGATTACTCCTTTACTCCCAGGTAAATTCCAGTGCAAACAGATTGTCTGGAATACAGGTCTGTGTGGGTAAGCGGGTTAGTGAGAACGTTTTGTCTTCTCATTTTGTGGGTTTCCCTTTTGCTTTTGCAAAGCTGCAGGGGGGAGCGATGAGGCTCTTAGAAGGCTACGTCCTGTCTCAGGGTCAGAAACTAGGTTACAAAGAGACCCCCCCCCCCATTTGCAGGGGCCTCTTTCCGAATTGAAGCAGACAGTTCTCTTAGCCCCACTTCACCTTGCACAGTACGTTGGTGAAACCTTTGCTTCGTTCTTAGAAGCAAATTATTAATACAATTAAGGTAAAGAGCACTTTAAAACTGGGTTTTGTATGCAACTACTCTAGTACTACTTTCCCAACAAGGCTTGTTGGTTTGGGCTCTAAGCTTCAAACTATTAACCTTTGTTAACAGTGCAACACTGGCTTATACCATACCTATCCTACCTTAACTTCCCTGTATGGTGATAGATGACAAACCAAACAGTTTTGAGGTACAGTGGTACCTCTACTTACGAACGCCCCTACTTATGAAATTTTCG